GCCGCGCACCCCGTCATCTCCGCCCTGCAGCCGCCGATCCCGCTGAGGGCGCGCGACGAGGTTCGGTCCTCCGGCGGCGCCCAGCGCCCGGGGCGCGCCCCGAGGAACCCGATCCCCCCCCCAAGGCGGCCAGGCCTCGTGTGTTCGATGTTCTGCGAAAAGACCATCCCCGCCAGGGAAAGCGCGGGGGGCGGGAAGGCAATCAGCTCCCGCGCGGCTCGCTGCCCGGTCATGAAGAACTGCTTCGCAAGCTCATGCAGCACCAAAGGCATCGCGTCCGAGCGCCCGAACTCCATTCTTTTGTATAACGTCGAGAAGAACACGGTGTACTACATCACCGCCCCATGTTCATTAGACAAAAATCCAACTAAAGATGATATTCCTACTACATTTTCTGAGGACAATGTCTTCAGTGGCTTAAGGAACTCGACATCCAAATAAGGGCCGCAAGGGAATCTAAAAACTTAAGGAGGAGTCCACTGCTTAGAAATCGCTTTTTAAAATTTAGCGAGTATCGAGTGCGCAAATATGTTTTTTTTTTGTTTCTGAGAAAAATATTAAAAAAAGGGGGAGAGAAGACACATACAAGTACATATTCACATTTTCGTGTCTTATTTATGTGACTTAGCCTTTTCGCATAAGCGTTTCTTTTTTCCCGTTTCATGATGCCCTTTTACTGATTATACAGCTTCTCCTTCAAGGTGTTAGGATTGGCTTGTGCTGGTTTGATTCCTTTCTTTTTTTTCTAAGATTTGTGTACTGTGCCTCTTATTGTTTTTCTTATATCACGTGCTTTAATACTTATCTATCTGTCTATATATATATCTATCTATATATCTATCTATATCTGTATATATAAATATATATATATATATATGTATATGTATATGTATATATGCAAATATATCTCCAAATGTTTTTTTTTTCATATAGATTTGCTTCTTCCTCTTGGTATTAAGGGGCGGTGGTGGGTCTCTGTGTTAAGATTCATATTATCCATGTAGGAGGCCCGTCATGGTTCTCAAGGAGGTGTAATATTCCAAAGGCATTCCAAGAAAAAACAAACTATATGGAGGTAGGAAGGAAGGAAGGATGTCATCAATTTCAGGTATCAGTCCTTGTGGTATCATAGGAACCTGAATCAAGCCTTACCAGGCGTGTATGAAAGTACCTATAGTTTTACAATCCTCCAAATTAACTTAGCTTGACAAACCGAAGAATTAAAGAACAGGGATACGTTAATTTTTACTGTTGTCTAGTTCCTTTTCTCGAAATTACTCCATAATTATCTAGCTATTATATTAAATGTGTGCTAACGGTGCGAGAAATGTTTACCGCACAAATACAAATGTACGAAGTCGCGGTTAATAATTTTAAGAAATGTTTGCCATGGGAACGGTACACGTAAGTGTCTTGATCTTTCAATGCGGTTCTTTACCTGAACACTTCTCATTATCGCTTTTATTTTTTTTCCAGAATTGCGTCTTTCTTTTTTTCAAAAAATTCCACTTAAATCAGCGACATAACTGTGGTAGTTATTTTCAACTATTCCTTTGCGCCAAACACAAGTTTTTTTGTTTTTTTTATCCTTATAAATAAATTTATCAGCCTTTGTTAATTATTTTGATCTCACAAAAAACAACAACTAAAGTAATAAAAGAACAGCTTTGGCTTTGATCGACGTTTTACCTTCGTACAAATGCAGCTTTCCACAATCTACGGGGAGGAAGTTTGTGATGATTTACTTAAGGTGACATCGTTCAGCTCTTTATTGGAGCATAATTATTCCAGCGAGTTGCCCTCCGATAAGACCCCCGATCAGTCTTTTATCAGTTTGATAAATTCGAAACCTATACAAGCGTCATCAAAGGTGTTTAACATTGGGTGCATGAGAATTGCTATACCACCACCCATATTGGACTTTGGATCTAATTCGCAGACTTCAACCGCAAAATGGATAGACAACACCATTTCCACCGACAACTCGGAGACGCTTATGACTTTTGACTTCACATCTTTAAAGCTGCCATCTATACAGTTAAATGAATTCGATCGGAGTTTTATCAACGTTTAAAGGCTGAAAAAAAAACAGAGACGAAGGACTTTCACCACTTCTTGTGCTTATTTCTCACTTGAAATAATAAGTTGAATACCTTTGCCAGTTGAATTCATCTAAACGTTTCTTTGTTTAACAATGTTTTGGCGCCTACTACTCCAGCAGAAATGCCTTCCTTTTGGTATTATTTTGATGAAGTGGGAGGCCTTTTAGTTTTCCTTTGAGTTTAATTTATTCGTGAATTTTCACTGTGAAGTGATCGTGTGGGGTGTGCTGCTATGCTGCTGTTGCATTGTTGATGGAAGGATTGGACTCTGGTATTGCTTCAATTGATGCGTACAGTAGTATTGCTTATGGGCATAGGTGTATATAGATATATATACACATATATACATAAGTATATATGTGTGTGTGTGTGGGAGGGGAGTGGGGAAGGGGAAGGGGAAGGCAGATAATGTCACATCCTCCTCGTTGAAGAAGTCAGAATTAAAACAGGTTCATTAGCCACGCAACAAAGTACTGAGAGGGGTGAGCACAGGTGGGGGGGGAGAGGGGGGACTAGGATCTCAGGACTTTGATCTGGACCAGCTTCGTGCGGCTATCACCTCAAACCTAACTTGTGAAGAAAAAGGCCCGGAGCCTTCTGGTTTA